AGCAACCCTCATCTTTTCATGTATTTCTACCTGCTCCTGTATTTTTCACTTTATGCATCTGATGAAGTGGGTTTTATCCCACGAAAGCTTATGCCCAAATAAATTTGTTCGTCTCTAAGGTGCCACAAGTACTCCTGTTCTTTTTGCGGATACAGACTAACACAGCTGCTACTCTGACACATGCTTAGTAATGCCTGTCACGTCAGTCATTACTCTTCCCTTTAGTGTGGTAACACTATAATCAGAAAAACTATTTTCTCACATGGCTCCTTTTCATGTCTGCTCCTGTAGGACATGGGGCTAGTACAGATGGGGCGGAGTTGTGAGGAAAGGACATAGGGAAGTTCTGTCCCCCTGCAGAAGAAGTAGAAAAAAATTCCTCGTAGGTGCTCAAGGAGGAGGGCCTGCATTTTAAGAAGATTATGAGTGTTGCTTGGATAACAATTTATGATTTTGCTAAATCAGGTACAAGCATTGGAGAGTTTTGCTTCTGAGGTGTGGGTTGTTTTTTTGTTTTGTTTTTTTAAATATTTAGCAGCCTGTGGCAGGGCCAGAGGATGCTGCTGCAATTAACATTACAAACTTAATTATTATTTATATTAGAGTAGTACCTGGAGGCCTCTCTCAGTATGGGTGGTGTTTAGCAGAAACAGTCTTAAGGAGAGGGTCCTTGAAGGAAGACTTTTTACTGTATATCTTTTTAGTAAATTATTAAAGACCTGGAGATTTGCAACTAGTTAGTGATTATTTTGAGATAAGATTTTCTACCTGGAAACTTTTGATTCTTGGAACTCCTGTATATGTCTTAAAAATGTGTATTGTGGGATTAGTTACCAGGGATTGAGGGTTTTCGCTGCTAGGTAAACAGTAGAATCAGCCACAGGGTACCGCAGAAGTGAGCTAAAAATAGATTAAAACAAACAATATGCCTGTTTGACACAATCAAAAGAGAAGGAAAACCAGTTCAGCCTACATAGATTTGCGTGCAGTGGCACTGATTCCCAAACAGAGTTAACGTGTATAGATAGAGCTCCATTGTATCACTCAATAACACAAAACAGGAAGCGTTCAGATTTCATACTCTCATATGTTCATGTCCAAATCCTTTCCAACTCTTATATGTAATCTGTTTTATAGCATTACTTTGTATGTCATTACAGAGTGTCTGGCACATTTGATTTGTGCTAATATCAGACAGATTGGACGATTCACTGTAGAACACTGGCTTTTCATTCCTAGTGACCCCAGTGAAGTTCAGCATGAGAACTAAGCTTGGGATCTCATGTTGATAGCGGAGAGCAATCTGCATCATAAAACCGCCACCCTGCTAGACAGTTCAGTGTGACTCACCCTGCTCTATAATGATTCACAAAGATAAAAATTCTCTGATCCTTAGAGCGGGAGACTACTCTTTCAAACACCAGTGACCTTTTATTTCCTTGTATTTTCCCACCACCACATATATACAGCTTTATACAGTTCGCTATCAGGCAGGTAGCCCCTTGGGGAACAGCTTGCTCTTACAGCTAGCTGGGAGCAACAGGTCCTCACTTTCCTGTTCCTCTCCTCCTACTTCCTTCCTGCTAGTTTTATAGGCCTCCTCCATCAAGCTCACAGGTGTCTCTCCTTTAGGGCTTTAATCAGCCACAGCCTGTCAGCTCCAATCTCTTCCCCTTACTGGGAGCTGAGCTAGCAAGCTTAGAGCTAACGGGGACTGAGTCAGTGCCTTTTGGCCAGCACCCTGTTACAGTAAGGTCTCATCTTTGTTATAGCCGAGTCATCTTTTACAATTTAATTGCATCTGGGAATAATACAGTATTGTGATGGTATGTATATTATTGTTGTGAAATGTGAAGTACACTTTTTATTCCTCTAACTTCCAATTTGTTTCCCATTTATAGTTCGAAGGAAGGAAGTATTGTGAACATGATTTTCAGATGCTTTTTGCCCCTTGCTGTCATCAGTGTGGTAAGTTTTATTGCAGGGGTAGTATTTCATACTGATCATCCAGTGTAAATTCAACATATAACCTTGTAAAGAATGTAATTCTTGTGAACATTCCCTGTGAAGGTAGGTATGCAGCCTCATGCAATTGGGCACATGATAATCCAGAGTGAAATAGACTTCAGAACATTTTGGAAATAACCAAAGGATTTATTCAAATAAAGAGAAGCAGGCAGTAGAGCTTAAAAGATGGATGAATTAATTCAGATGATTAGTGATTTAGCATTTGATTCAGTTAACACTTTAAGGCCTTCATGAGCTTTTGATATGATGTAACAAAAAAGAAAAAAAGTTCTCGTGCAGCTAAAACTTTCAGACAAGCTCCCATCAGCTCCTGTTTCAATTACTGTAACCACTTCATAATTTGTCTCCTCAAGACCTACATTGTCCTACTCCAATCTGTACAAAGTAAGATAATCTTCCTTGCCAATCTCATGAAAACACTGGGTCCCCCTTCTCTACTGCATCAAATTCAACCCTTTTAAGCTTCAAGCCACTTCTAAGGCCTTACGTAGCACTGACTCACCCAGTGCATTTGTTTCATCTCCATTTCAATGAAAATACCCTTTGTGACGGGTTGAACCCCTGGGATAGCACCTGGTGTGTTGGGGCACCACTGAGTCAGACTATTCTGCCAGCCTGAGTCCCCTTTACCTGGCCTTGCTGGGCTAGGCTCCCCAGCCTTTTCCAGCCAAGCACACAGGCAGGGCCACACCCAGCTGCACAGAGAGCCAGAGATCCGCTCTGGGAAGGCTCAGCTTAGGGGACTTGCCACAGCACCCAGATGTCCCTCCTCCCCCCCCCCCCCCCCCCCGGCCGGAGTACAAACCCAAAATTATATGAAATTCGCCTCTTTTCTCACTGTGGAGGAGGGTGTACACAACTTCTCGCACCCTCCAGTTACAAATCATATAAACTGGGTTATATTATAAACCACTATAACAGGTGTATTTTAAGTAGTTAAGGAGGTAGCAGACAGAACAGGGCAGATTACTAAGAAAATAAAACAGCACGCAAACTAAGCTTAATACACTAAAGAAACTTGTTACATGTAAGTTGTCACCCTAAATACGGTTCTAATAATCTTCTTCACAGGCCAGAAGCCCTTCCAGCCTGGGTTCTTTCCCCCAGTTCAGTCTTAGTTGTTCCCAGCAGTCATCTTGGGTGGAGTAACAGGGGAGAACTGAGGACCCAGATTACCTCACTCCCTACCCTTAAATAGGATTTGCATAAGGTGGGAGTCCTTTGTTTCCTAGTTTGACCACCTCTTCCTTTACAGTGGAAAGTGACAAAGAAGTCCCAGGTAACCTTTTAGTATCAGGTGACAAGACTGCCTGATTCTGTGGGGCCCCTGTAGCCATTCTTCACAGGCTGACCCACATGTTCACAGGAAGACTAAGCTTTTTTACAGTCCATTGTTCTTGTTGATGGGCCATCCGCCCTGTCTGGCTTTTCCATTGTTGTACCTGAAGTGTTGGCAGTGGGCGTCACCCAAAGTAGCCTAGTTGAAATACAAATGCATAGTCAATATTCCTAATTTCAGATACAGAAATGATACATGCATATAAATAGGATAATCACATTCAGTAAATATAACCTTTCCAATGATATCTCACGAGCCATCTTGCATAAAGTATATCTCAGTTATGTCATATTCATATCAAGCATATTTTCATAAAGAATATGGAATGACACATGTCGGAGAAAAACTGAGTTCTCACTATTTTGTTTAGGTACAGCAAGTCAGAAGCTTTATTAACTCTCACATGTGCAGAGGAGAGAGCAAAGCAGGTCTCTCTCTGGTAACTAATTACAGCAAGCATTTATACCTTTCATTACAGAAATAATGAGGGACAGCAGCATTTTGTTTATACATAGGCCACTTGATATCTCATTTCCTCACTTGTTTTGACTCTTGCCAACATACAATTAGTTTCTATACCTTATCTACACAAGGTCTTCTACACCTTATCTATACTGAGGTCATAATGACTTCTTACACAGTTCTTTCTCACCCGCCTCACACAATCCTCGGTTCTACG